GAGGACCAGCCCCTGCGTCTCCGGCTGCTGGCTGGCCCCAGCGAGAAGGCCCTCAGCTTCGTTCTGAAGGAGAACGAGACCGGAGAGGTCAATGTGAGTCGGGGAGCAGCCTGGCGCGAGCCAGAGGAAGCCTGTGGGTTGTAAGGAAAATGTTGCAGCACTGCCCCCTGCTGGCTGCCGGGCTGTCAGGCTCTGATGGCAGGGCGAGCTGGCCGGAAAGCCAGAAAGGGGGAATGAAGTGTGTGTGTGATGGGGTGTCATGGATCCTCTCCAGGGCCGCGTCCTGCCCACCCACCAGGCCTGCTGGAAGGGGAACCTGAGCCCCTGGGCGCTTCATCTGAGTGGAGTCCAGCTGGCACCCCAATCCAAATCCCAGGGCACGCCCCCCCTTTGCTTGCTGGAACCCGCTGTCCAGCCCCCTTCTGGGCACGGCACTGACCCGTCACAATCCCCAAAAAATGGAATCACTCCGCCCCCAGGACTCCTGCAGGGTGTGACGCTGCCGAGTCCAACATAACTCTGTCGGGGGCACAGAACAGTTGGGAAGCTGTATGGACGCCTGCTCGGACGCACACTCGCTCTTTGTACAGGCTTGTAACTTGAGGCTCTTCATCTGTGGCAAAAGGGGTTCTCTGCTGGCCGTCCCCCGTGAACCCCTTACAGAGGCAGGAGCCCTGCTTCCTCTGTCCTCCTCCTGGTAACTTTCCAAAGCCCCTCCTTTCACATGGGGCTGGAAGTGTCTTCTCCCGGCCAGAGAAACCCCTTTTGTCCCACGTTTCTCCGAACAGAGGCCCGTTCCTCCCCATTGTCTGTGGCCGGCACAGACATCCCGAACCTTGGGGGAGCCACGTACAGACGGGGGTTCCTGGGCACGGTGGGAGGGAAGCAGAGGTCAGGACTGAGGTGTGATGTGGCGGGCAATGGATAGGGAGTTGACGGATGCTGGACTGGAGTCCCCGTGACTCCAGTCACAGACCCGACGCAGTCCCCACTGTTATTGCAGTCCCGGGCTCTCCCCCACCCTGTGGATCCCTGCCAATGCCCATCAGACCCAGCCTGCAGCCTCGCAGCCCTTTCTGTTCTCAGCCCCCTAAGGGCGGCTGCTCCATCCTGTGGCCCCCCCCTTCCAGCCCTGGGTTCCAGCCCCCGAGCTCAGAGCTCTGCTGGAGCCCCACGGCCCTGACCTGTGCAGGCCCCTGGAGTGACGGGCCCTCTGCCCTCTCGCCCACAGTGGGACGCGTTCAGCATGCCCGAGCTGCACAACTTCCTGCGCATCCTACAGCGCGAGGAGGAGGAGCACGTCCGGCAGATCCTGCAGAAGTACACCCGGTGCCGCCAGCAGCTGCAGGAGGCGCTGACCGCCCGCACCCCAGGCTGAGCTGCCCCCGCCCCAGACCTGACACTCCGACCGACGCCAGGTGGCTGGGCCAAGAAGCGGCAAGGCCAGGCGGACACGGACAGATCCACGCCGGGACTGCCTGTGGGGCGGGAGCTCCCCTGCGAGGGTGCAGGGAGGTGGGGGGGAAGTGTGGGAGGGGCCCCGGTGCCGGGCGGGGCGCGAGTGTAAGCGAGAGGGGGTTGCGTGCATGGGAGCATTTCTCCGGAGGACGAGGA